CAGATGCAGAAAACACAGCACGTACACTTCAAGCTACAGCTAACCACAAACCAGTCATGAACATACAACAAAACAAGCTATCGAGATCTCTGGAAGTTGTCAAACTGATAGGGACAGATATCTGAACAAATGAAAAATGATAATGCACTTATCTGTACAGTAGTGGCTTCAATAAACAATGCATTTTTTACATATTCACTATGAGCTAATCAGAAAAACTTCTGTAAATGTAAATTTCATGTGTTAGTTGTGCTTTTTGTGTTCATCTTCTCCCATTTGCTCTTTTTACATTGACTATCACTCTATATAAACATATACAATCAGATACAACAATAATTCCTCAAACATTTATTACAATATATACTGATAAACTTAACATTCACTTCTGTGGTGAAGTCCCCTTCTGAGAGGACTGGATGCTTTAAACTTATTTTCTATTGAACTGTCAACAAATGAATTGCAGTGGTCAAACTATTTAAAATACAGTGAATTAAGCTACAAACTCGATCATAATGCACATTGTTTCATCTATCATGTATTCTGAGGTGCAGCTCGTTATGGATTGTTTTCACTAGTTAGCAGTAAACTGGTTACCTCTCTATATAAACATATACAATCAGATACAACAATAATTCCTCAAACATTTATTACAATATATACTGATAAACTTAACATTCACTTCTGTGGTATGAGAGGACTGGATGCTTTAAACTTATTTTCTATTGAACTGTCAACAAATGAATTGCAGTGGTCAAACTATTTAAAATACAGTGAATTAAGCTACAAACTCGATCATAATGCACATTGTTTCATCTATCATGTATTCTGAGGTGCAGCTCGTTATGGATTGTTTTCACTAGTTAGCAGTAAACTGGTTACCTCACCTGAATATGTTCATAGATTTGTGTTGGATGTTTCGACATGGAAAACAGTTATCTTCAGAATGGAAATATACTTTATTTGTAAACATCACTTTTTCCCGCTTATTTCAGTTAATGTCATAAAACTATTGAGCTAAGCCAGCAGTAGTACTGACTTTGTCGTATAAACATGGCTAAAGGCGCAAAAAGCGAAGGAACAGACAAACCGATTCAATTGAGTGAGTCTTTAAGCTGGAACCGCTCCGATTGATTTAAACTCAAATTAGTGACTTTGATTGTTCTTTTCAAGCTATCCACTAGCAAAAATCAGATCAAAAGAGCCATTCATCTTCGAATTTTGACAATGCTTGTAGTGATTTTAAAAAGCACATAGTGATGGGTGAAATGGATTTTTTTAAAACTCAGAATCAGTAAAACCATTGTGTCGCAAAATGATTCACTGTTTCAAAGTGCTCGAATCGGATCCCATATCGCGAATCCTTTGATTTAGATCGGCACTTCGGAGCGGCGTAACTAATCATTCAGCTCGGAACTTCGGAGTGCGTATCGCGAATCATTTGATTTAGATCGGAACTTCGGAGCGGCCTCACGAATCATTCAGATCGGAACTTCGGAGTGCGTATCGTGAATCATTTGATTTAGATCGGAACTTCGGAGCGGCCTCATGAATCATTCAGATCGGAATTTCAGAGTGCTTATCGTGAATTATCTGATTTAGATCAGAACTTCGGAGCGGGTTTATGAATCATTATTTAGATCGGGGCTTCAGAGCGCGGATGGCAATTCATTTGATTTAGATCGTAACTTCAGAGCAGGATAGAGAATCAAGATCAGAACTTCGGAGTGGGTTCGTGAATCATTATTCAGATCGTGGCTTCGGAGCACAAATCGCGAATCATTTGATTTAGATTGCAATTTCGGAGCATGGATCGCGAATCATTTGATTTAGATCGGATCGGAGCAGGTTCGTGAATCATTATTGAGATCAGAATTTTGGAGCACGTGTCACGAATCATTTGATTTAGATCGAGATTTAGAGTGCATGTGGTGAATCATTTGATTCAGATTAGAAGCGTATATCGTGAGTCATTTAATTTAGATCATAATTTTGGAGCAAGTTTGCAAATCTTTTGATTCAGATCGGAAGTTCAGAGTGGGGATCGCGAAATTAGATTTAGATCGGAACTTCGGAGCACGTATCATGAATCATTTGATTTAGATAGGAACTTTGGAGCAGGTTTGTGAATCATTATTCAGATCGAAACTTCAGAGCACATGTTGCAAATCATTTGATTTAAATTGGGATTATCATTTGACTCAGTTTGGGACTTCGGAGAGCATATCACAAATTATTTGATTCAGATTGGGTCTTCGGAGCATGGACTGCGAATCATTTGACTTAAGGCCGTTTCACACTGAGCGCGATGCGAAAATGCGATGCGAATCGACAACGAACGGTGCTTTCACACCAAGCGCGAACCGATTGATCGCTTTCTGCTAATCCACGCCTGCATGCTACACTCTTAAAAATAAAGGTGCTTAAAAGGTTCTTCACAGCGATGCCATAGAAGAACCATTTTTGGTTCCACAAAGAACCATTCAGTCAAAGGTTCTTTAAAGAACCATCGCTTTCTTACCTTTTTATAATCTGAAGAACCTTCCGCCACAAAGAACCTTTTATGAAACAGAAAGGTTCTTCAGATGTTAAAGGTTCTTTTTGGAACCATTTAGACAAAAAAGGTTCTTCTATGGCATCGTGAAGCACCTTTATTTTTAAGAGTGTAGGTGGCAATATACAGAATTAAATTAAGATAAATAAAGTTTGCACCAGAGAAACAAACTATCTATAATACTTACAAGAATACATCTTAAAATATAAATAGAGGTACAATTAACATCAAGCTACATTTGAAAATGTATGCGATTATTAATGTTTTTGCTTAAAACCCACTTTAAACCATCATCGAGTGATTGTAATAAATTCCGATTGAGATCTAAAGTTGATTTTTATTCTATAATAGGCAGACAAGCACTCTTTGTATGTTTTATGGACTGAACACGATCTGCTTCATAAACATCCTTTATTATTGTTATAAAAATATAATGAGCTGCATAAAACACATAAAGAAAATATATCGTCATATGTCTATTTGCTTTCATATTTCATGTATAGAAAAATGTTTCTCTCATTTTTTCATAGGTAATAGCAGGAGATATCCTATGATTGACAGATCTTGAGACAGAGCTTCCGGTCATCCCTGTTGCTTGTGCACCTTTTCCTACCCAATTTCTTCCTTCCAGTCAACTTTGCATTTAATATGCTTTGATACAGCACTCTGTGAACAGCCACCCCTTTCAGTAATGACCTTCTGTGACTTACCCTCATATAGTATATAATATGAGAATGTACAATGCTAGAGACTTAAACAGGTTGCGTGCTGCATTCTTCCAGTCAGTGACAGTGACACCGCAAATATGCAAATAAGAACATACTGTATGGTTCATGGTTTATGGTTGTGCATGATGATACTGTGAGTTTGGGGGGTTTCTAAAACCCAGCCTGGCTGACAGGGGGCTAGTGGTCAGGGTTAGAAAGAGAGAGCGACAAAAAGCATGTAACTCTCTCACTGGTACAGCTGGGGTGGTGGATTGGCTAAAACCTCATCTGATCTCATTGCAGCAGTCAAACATAAGTCTCTGTTTTACCTCTTACCTGAATAGAAAGAGTTCGAGAGACAGACACTTGAATGTAGTTGGCTCTCACATTTCTATTTTCGTAACATATATTTTAGTGTGAGCTAAAGAGAAAGCATATAGGCAATTAAAAGAAAAACAGTGTGATAAATTTTATGACTCTTGCTGAGTGTGTGGCGAGAGAGAGACAGGAAACTCCTGACCGCTTCAGCTGACCCTGAGGAATGTCAGATTCGTACAGACCCATTCAACAACATCACATGCTAACAGCTAATGGGCCAGGTCACAGTTCACCCGAAAATTAAAAGTAAAAAAAACAAACAGTTTGCCTAAAGAAAACAAAGCATATTTAAGGACTATTAAGTCTTTTTGCATTGCATTTCATGACAATAAAGCTTTTTAATATTATTTATATCATTCTTTATAAATGCTTTATCTAAAAAGTAAATCATTTAATTAATAATGTCATAATAAAAAAAAAACAGTCTTTATTTTCTTATAAGCAAAATATCTTTTTGTTTTATTATGAGATGAAATGTCTTGAAGTGAAATGAAGTGTTCTTGACATGTTTTTTTTTTTCAACCTTGCCATGCATTGTGTAGTTCCAGTAAATTCATTCTGTCCATATTCTCACTAAACACACATTTTGTCTCCTGTTCCTCTCTCAAACACACACACTCAAACATTCAGAAGTGCGTCCAAGAGTCATGGTGTAGGGGGTAATCTAGAATAATCCTATTTTATTGGCTGTTACCGCTGTGACGCAGGTCCGGTCCCCCTGATAGATTCTGGGTGACATCTAGCCTGACCTGACATTACGGTCAGTCATTTATATACACTGAGTTACCAACTAGTCTTACACAGACACACACATAATTTCACACACGTCTGCCTCACTCCCTCACAAACACAGGTTTGCGTAGCCATCCAAACAGGGACTTAATTTACCCTTAAATTAAGCTAATTACAATTACTACAGACTAACCCTACCACACAATCCAAACCCTAAAATAGAACAGTCTTTATGAAGCATTTTCTTTTTTGAGAATGTCCACTTAGGATGTCAGATATATAGTAGCTAACCTAGGGACATTTTTCTGTACATTTTTCCCTGAAATATAGCATGGTTTTATTTTTCTTTCTTGTTTAATGTGCTTCAGAGACTGAAACCTCATTACTCACCTGCATAAAGGTAAACTTCGACTTCCAAACATGATGTCTTTCTCTAGAGGGCAGCACTGACATTCAGTGTTGTCAATAAAGGCAGAAAGGATGTTTTGCTAGTCAGTTTTAATTGATTCATTTATTATGTATGTCATGTATACCTTCACACTAATTACCTTTAGAAACTTTGCCATTTTTGACTCATATACCAAGTTGATTTTTTTTCATATACTGTATCAGTACAGTTGTTTGTTTGCGCCATAGAAACTGAATAAATACTCAACACATACAAAATAAATTACCAAGCTATACTTTTGCTTATTATGAATGTTCCTGTACTGTTTTAATAGGTCGTACGTTGGTATAACTGTATAATATTACCGTAGGTGAGGAGCGCGTCTGGATTGGTGCGCGCAGCTGTCACTCAAATTCTCCGTCACTCCTGCTATATGTGCGTCCTCTCTGTGTGCAACCGAGATGACATGAGCAACCAGCACTTTACACAGTGTAACAGCTGACAATGTGATCATACAGGTAGGTCTTCCATTTACACATTATTGATTATGCGCATCTATATTCTCTCAGTGCTTAATTGAACAGGGTTTGCACATTATTGGTTGACTATTTATATATTTATTTTTACAGAATAAAACAACATGTAAAGACTCAAAGCTTCCAGCTGTCGCTTTAGTTGAGGAGAGGGACGGGGTCTTCTGCTATTTGACATTCGTGTTCCTGGAAAGGCGTGCACTTTACTGTCGGAAACGAAAACTCATCGCAATCATTTTGACCTCCCGAGAGCCGTGAGAACCCACGTTCACCGCCCTCACCACGAACTTCAACGCTGTGCGCAAAAGGGACATCTGGAGAGCTTTTACGCACAGAGGTGAGGCGCAACGGCGGCGCGCTGCATGCAACACGAATGATAGACGTGCATATAAACTCTCGCCCGACTGAAAAGTACTTTTTCTTGAATTATTGTAACATTTACTTCTTGCATCCGTTCATGTGACACGGCCAAAGCGACCTGACTGTAGGACTATATAACAAACAGATCTGTAATCACTCGCCATGGAAGATAATCGAAGTAATTTGAGCGTGCTGAACTGGGAGCAGGTAAAGCGTCTGGATGTCATCCTCACCGATTCCATCCCCATTCACGGCAAATGGAACTTCCCCACTTTGGAGATGAAACCTCGGGATATCGTCAAAGTCGTGCGGTGTCGCATGGAAGAGCGCAAGATTCACGTCCGGGAGGTCCGGCTGAACGGTTCCGCGGCCAGTCACGTTCTCCACGAGGACAGCGGTTTGGGCTACAAGGACTTGGACCTCATATTTTGCGCGGATCTGAAAGGAGAAGGGGAGTTTCAGACCGTCAAGGATATCGTTCTCGACTCCCTCCTGGATTTCCTGCCCGAAGCTGTGAATAAAGAGAAAATCACACCAGTTACATTAAAGGTAAGCATTTAGTGACTTTTATGTGTTTTAATTGTGTTGTAGCCCGGTGTTCTGCTTAGTTTAAACTAGTAAAAACGGGTCTTTTGCTGTTTTTTTATATGGGGTTTTGGGCACTTTACAGCTGGGAGACCAGCTAAAAAGTTCAGCAAACCTGCGTAGTCTGGTTTAAGATGTTTTTAAGCAAGGTAGCTAAAAGTCCTGGCTAGTAATTGAAAAGTTGTGGATTCAAACCTTGCAGGAGTTGATTCATCACCCTCCAGCACAGCACTTAACCTCAGGTTACTCAGGACTGTCCTTAATTTAACTGTACTGTCACTTTGGATAAAAGAGATTTAGCTAAATGATTACTTAGTAACTGATATAATTCCATATGTTTAACGTGTTAAATAAAGGGGAAGTGCACGACATGCTATAATTTGACACTGGCTGGACCTAGACATGTCCTAGAGAGCGTATATTAGATTTAAGCTGCAATGAGATAAGGACACTGGTAGTAAAAACGCTGGTTTCAACTACAAAGAGGATTTCTCTAAACCAATTTACGATGGATCCGTTTTCTCCTCTCTCTACCCAGTGTATGCAAAGGCAGACAGCCTTTTCATGTATGCAAATTATGCTGATATAATTTAAAGCAATAGCGATGCAATGGAATGCCTTTACTGGATATGCAAAGTGACTTTACAATGAAAAATATAGCAGCTGTAGTCCTCTGCTATTGACAGTATACTGAGGGGAATGATTTTTTAATAATTATTTATTTGTCTGCTTAAAGATTTAACATTGCACCCATGTACCCTTTTGTGCATCTCCATCTTTTAATGTATTTTAACAATTTTCATTGAACAAATTTTCACGCTCACATTGTCCTCCAAACCTTTTTTTCTCTTTCCTCAGGAGGCTTACGTGCAGAAGATGGTGAAAGTTTGTAATGATTCAGACCGCTGGAGTCTAATCTCCCTCTCCAACAACAGCGGGAAGAACGTCGAACTGAAGTTTGTGGATTCCCTGCGGCGCCAGTTTGAGTTCAGCGTTGACTCTTTTCAGATCCGTCTGGACTCCCTCCTCCTCTTCTACGAGTGCTCTGAAAACCCCATGGCTGAGACATTCCACCCCTCCATCGTGGGAGAGAGCGTTTACGGAGACTTCAACGTAGCCTTGGACCACCTGCAACAGAAACTGATCTGCACGCGAAATCCAGAAGAGATTCGGGGTGGCGGCTTGCTGAAGTACTGCCACCTGTTGGTGCGAGGTTTCCGCGCGGCTTCGGAAGTCGAAATGAAGCTTCTCGAACGCTACATGTGTTCCCGGTTCTTCATCGACTTCTCAGATGTGGCGGAACAAAGGCGCAAGCTAGAGTCGTATCTGCAGAATCACTTTGTGGGATTAGAGGACCGGAAATACGAGTACCTGACCACCCTGTACAGTGTCGTCGATGAAAGTACAGTATGCTTGATGGGACACGAACGGCGACAGACTCTGAGCCTCATCACCATGTTGGCGGTACGTGTTCTGGCGGAGCAGAATGTAATTCCCAATGTGGCTAACGTCACTTGCTATTACCAACCTGCACCGTACATTGCAGATGGCAACTTTAGCAATTACTACATTGCTCAGGTGCAACCAGTCTATGCCTGCCAGCCCGTCCACACATTCTCACCATGGTTGCCCTGCAACTGACCAACTGTTAACTCACATTTTGTCCAACATGTCTAATTAGAGCACTCGCCCAATGAGACCAGTTGGCAAGTCGGTATTTGTGTGCTCTACAATGTGAGGAAAACCCAAGACTTTCCCAACTGGCTGCTGCCAGCTCACTGCAAGGAGAAGCTACAAGCGCGCCAGATGAAAGAAAGGGAGGGAGAGTGAGGTAACTTGGATTCATTCCCATCGGGCAGCACGTTCTACCTAGGCTTTCCATGGCTATGTGCCAGGCCTACAGTAGGAGGAAACACCATGGAAACTCTATGAGAGTAATACGGACACAAAAAGGACTATCTTTGTGTTTGTGTACATATGTGTGTGATAGACATACATGAAGAATCAAAGATGTCCTGCATATTGTATTGAAAGGGCAGATAGATTAGCAAGATAACTTTTTTGATGCTCATTACTCATGCTATCAGACTGCAATCAATGGACACTTTTCTCAAGCCAAGGATATTTTCATAGATACCAGATACCCAAAACAGATTATCAGTTAAGTGCCTTAAACTGAAATTTTTTTTTAAAGTCACTCTGCAAATGACCCCAAAGTATGTTAGTCAAGACATCTTTTTGGAGTCACATATGAATGAAGGTAGTGCACAATAGCAAATGGATGACGAGTTTTAAAGGCCACTTGATCATGAACTTCCAACTGATGTAGTTGCAAGACCTATTTCTTATAATGTATTCATTTAGGGGCCTATATGAAAGTGTTGCATAAGAAGCTTTTTCCATCCGAGGCACTGGCAAGATTCGCATACCTGTGTGTAAGACTGTACATATGAGTTTTTCACAGCTTCTTGTCTCATCTAAACTGACCTCAATGTACTGTTGGCTCAGTGCTGGCTTAGCTCAGATTAAAATGTCCAGGGCAATGCCATTACATCTAAGGCAAAGAAGTAAAACAGGTCGAGGCCGAACAGGAAGAGAATTAATGAAAGTTGTTTAAGTCCAAATTGTTGCTGTTATATCCAGGTTACCTGGCGTCTTTCTGAAATCCTAATTATTACACAGCCACCAAATCCAGAGATTATACCTTTGACACATCTGACCTGCATAACCTGGGGGATTAAGACCAGCAGAGACATAGCAGAAGCTCATTTAAGGGAAGCAGAACATATACCAAAGATATTCTTGATATTCCTCAAGATTGTGAAGCAACAATACTTGACTTAAAAGCATCTACATGCTGTTGGAACTTAATGCAACACAATTCCCCTAGTTCAATTATTCCATTGAGTCTGAATCTGAGTGCTTTGTCATATGTAAAGGCCCTGTCCCCAATGCTACCAATTCCACACTTTGGTGATGCAATAGGGAGCACCTTTCAGAATAAAAAATGGGACACCTTATGGTCACATGCCTGAAATGGGTGTATGTTAAGGCCCTGTCCCGAATGATACCCTAAGCCCTTGCGGTCCTCAGCCGATTCTACACTCTGGTGATGCAATGCTGCATAGACTGTCCGGTAGTAGTCCAAAGGTGCATACTGAGCAAAAGGGGGGGCATTAAGGGCACTCAGGAGCACCCTTCAGAAATAAAAAAATGGACACTCTGTATGGTCACATGCATGCGATGGTTGCCACAAATCTACAGGACAGAAAGTTGGGACAGGGCTTGAGAATGTCACATGTACTTATGGAAAAATTTGGCCTAACAGATCATACAAAGATGGACACATTCCTCCCATATACTCACTCACATATAATAATTGTATAATTTTTCTACTGATTCTGCTATTTTTGTACATTGTGATGCTTGTGCTAAGGTCTTGGTTGGGACCTTACTCTAATGCTGTGAAAAGTACTGTTGTGTTTTTTGAGTCGAAAGACCCGACCAAGCATTAGTTCAGCAAATTCTTAACAAACGTTGGTGTAAACTTTCATTTAGAGTCATTGCATTTGGGTGCCCACACAAGTGTGAATGTCTCAGTCTATGTGTGTTTTATCTTCTAAATTAAACTTGTATGTGAATTCAGATGTGATATTCTGAGCTCACTACTGTCAATATTGCAATGCGTCATGTATTTGCAAACATGAATGACTCATTAAATGGTGATTTTAAAAGTTACATTGGCTCGGTGATGTTTGTTATCAACAAAACATCGCACAAGCCACTATTTAACCCTGATCTCTTGTTGTTTGTCTATAGATGATCTCTTCCTGTTGTGGGGTTTTAACAAAACCAATGCACAGCATGAAATACATGACCTGCTGATAAGACCAGCATTTGCTGTTTTGGATGGTTTTGCTGGTTAAAAGTATGCTAGACCAACACTAGCACTTACTAGCATGAACAAGCCAGACATAAATGCCAGTATAAGATGGTCCTTTCATCAGGAAACTGTTAAAAAAAAAATCGACATTTTGCAAATGTAGCAAATTAACAATTTGTTAACATAAATTAAAAAAAACCAACATTTGTTGTTGCATTGCAACCGTAACTGAACCGTTGATGTCTTATGCTTAGAGTAGCAGATGGCCAGTCTGTTTAGAGCACATCACCGTTGGTTAAAGGATGCACCAATCTACCTGTTTAACAAAGTAGTTTCGCTTTCACAACGAAACACACACGTGTCTTCACGACATGGCGGCAGCAACAATACTACAGCGAGAATAAAAGTTACGCCTTCTTTCTTTGCGTGAACATTTGGGCGGCGTTATGCAAATCTTCCCACATCGTGACGTAGACATGTGGGCGTGTTAGGACGAACCGTTTTAGGTAGGCGTGGTTGACTCTTAACTTTTATAAAGAATATCTCTTTGGATTTGAGACTTTAGTCTTTGCAACTTTACAGATCTTCTTTATGCACCAAGAGCTTGTAACACTTCAAAGAGAAAGGAAAAATTGAAATCGCATCATATGACCCCTTTAAGTGTTCTTCCACCCTGGTGCACAAAAGTTCAATGGTAACATTTAAAAATGTAATAAAATACATATTTCGATAGGTGACATTTTAAACTTTTAAAAATACTTTTTTTTTCAAATCTTTCAAACGTGACTGTGAAGTCAACAAACTTTGCATTGATAAGTTTATATATAAAAGTCTTTTGCATTTTATTTCTTCGTCTTTACATTCAAATTCAAATTGAAAATCAGCATCTTGTTTACTACCATTCAAAACTGAATTGGAATTTAAAAGGCATTCTGGGAGATCAGTAGACCAACTTAGGCTGGTTTAAACTGGATGCTTTTAATATTTAGACTGTGGTTCAGACAAAGTGTTAATATTCCCTCCGTTTATGTTGGAAGATAAAATTCTGCACTTTTATGAAGAAAAATAACATTCTTGCCCAAAAAGGCTGAGGATGAGTCATTTGTCAAAAAAATATTGCTCACTGTTGCTGAGTTCCTGTAGCTTAAATAGTTCAGTGTGGCACATACATACAACAAGGTCATGGAGTTTGATTTTCAGGGAACTCACATAAAAATGAATGTTATAATGCATGAAAGTAAACAGTGAGTGTTACCTTAGCTATGAGGCAAAGGGAGCTAACTTAGCTAACACCCAACGTTAATAGAAGCCTAAACAGTTTAGCTCCCGCTTTGGCATAAGTATGCTAGCTTAGCTTTGCGCTCCGGGTTCAACTGGATGAGAAATTGGGTCTGAGGGCGTGTAACGTAGGGGGCTGGGCAGGGCTAACATTATCCTCTTGTTAAGCGGCACTTTGAATATGCTATATTTAGCGCTCCATGAGAGGGATATTAACCCATCTCCCCTAATCTGATTAAACGCTTAATAGTCCTGTGCTCAACAGTCTAGGGTAGTTACAGCGTTTGGGTTTATGAGTATTGTACTGTAACACATATGCCCGGGTGAGAGCACCCTCCCTTACTGTCGAATTAAGATTGTCGGGTCAGTGTGCTCTAAATTTTGTTGAGATGAAGAAGTTCACCTCCTTCTCATGCCTTGAGACAAAACAAACAAAAGCTTGCTCTACTAAGCTGCAATCTTGGACAATTCGTCCACTGACCTAGCCTCAAGCTAACCATGTGACATGCTAATTAATCTGACGATCTGTTTTTACTTATTCATTTGTGCCATTTGTATGCAGTTCCTCGTGCTAGGCGATCCCTTCCCAAGACTATGAACTGGCACTTCATGTTCTATTTTGAGAGAATTGAAACCAACAGTCCCACTGTCTGTCTTGGTTCAATCTGGTGTGCCTCCTTGTGACAAAAATGACATACTGCATCCTAAATGAGCCATGAAAAAATACTTCAGCTGCTTCGCAATATTGCAACAGATAAATGTCATATGTCATAAGATGCCAGATGTCATAAGGTTTGTAACACAATGGATTCTGGTTCTTAACCATACATATAGTTCCTTCATTTATGAGTACTTTTGGCCCTGTGGCCTTTTAGAAAATGCTCTCTCGTAAAACATACTTTTCACACAACAGTCTATAGACAACTGCTAAAATGATCTATAATAACATGTATAATATTCTGTCAGAACACATGGTTACTTTTGAATGGCTTTTGGATTACTGCAGAAAATAAGACAAATGTTTTATGATTCCTACATGTTTTAATGATAATCTTCACAAATGAACACAGATTGTATGAATTTTGAAGCCAAAAATGCGATCACTAAAAGCAAAAAACAAAAGACCTAAACATAGGCTATTGACAACACGGTCACATGCCTTCAGCGTTACCACCACTGAACTTCCAACTCATTCAATCTTCATTTAAAATCTACATATTGGAAAATGTGCATTAGAATAGTTTGCAAGAGTTTGGTTATAAAAAATGAAACTTTGAAAGTGACTCGTGAGTAGATGAGTTTCCATGCTCGGTATGATGACATTTAATTTCACAGACAACCTTAAAAAGTGTTTTGTTAGGAATCGCCTTTTTTTAAGACACATAAAAGCTTCACGATTTTACAATTAACTTAATAAATAAATAATAATCATTAGCATATTATTTATATATTTTATTTTTAGCTGTAGAATAAAACGTTAAAATATCTTCAGCTTGTGATAAACACAGACCTGTAGTCAGACATGTAATCAAAAACCCATTCAAAAAGCTAATTGATTTCAGGACAATGAACCAGAAGTGAATAAATGCATAATGATTTCTGAGTTTTAGGAGTTATTCATGAAGTAAGATGCTTTCTGTAGCCAGACGATGCAGTTATTGCATCCACTCCACCCACCAGGGCTAAGTGAACCATGCTAGCTAAATCCTGACCCCTTGGTTAGATCTTACACTCGGCTACACCTTAAATGTGACCCTGGACCACAAAACCAGTCATAAGGGTCAATTTTGTGAAATTGAGATTTATACATCATCTGAAAGTTTGTTACATCAATGTAGGATAGGGTTTGTGATAGGACAATATTTGGCTGAGATACAACTATTTGAAAATCTGGAATCTGAGGGTGTAAAAAAATCAAAATATTGAGAAAATCGCCTTTAAAGTTGTCCAAATGAAGTTCTTAGCAATGCATATTACTAATCAAAAATTAAGTGGTGATACGTTTACAGTAGGACATTTACAAAATATCTTCATGGAACATGATCTTTACTTAATATCCTAATGATGTTTGTCATAAAAGAAAAATCAATACTTTTGTTACTTTTATTCATCAAGGATGCATCATAAAAGTAAAGACATTTATAATGTTTCAGAAGAATTGTATTTTCAAATAAATGCTTTTTTTGTATTAAAAAATACTAAAAATAGGTGTGGTGTAAATATGGTTAAATAATGGCATTTGGTTTATCAGCCACATGTGGGCCACATAAGGGCCGTCAGCCCTTTACAGAACTCAGCCATATAAGAATACCATATAAGGTCCATATATCAGCCACATCTGTTTTTATTATTTGGCTCACTCTGGGTTGGGTTATGGCACTGTTTAGGTTCAGTTCTGGCTAAAAATATGTGGACCTGTTTTGGGCCGGTGAACACAAACTAATCTGGGCCACACTTTAGCTGTTGATATGGGCCAGATCCGCGCCAAAGGAAATTTGCTGACTGGGTTAAGACTGGTTTTGTGGTCCAGGGTCACAAATACAATATATTTGTTTTAACGATGAAGGATATTTGATAGCCACATTTTATTAATTTGGAGTGTGTTTCTGGCCAAACTGTGACATAACTTCTTGTATTACGACATATTTACTTGACTGTTCTGTATTGTACATATCCAT